GTGGTTTGTATCCTATTTTTGTTTTTTGTTTTCTCGCGGCGTCGTATGTGCCGGGTTTTGAGACCACGGGCTTCCCATTTTTTGTGGACTAGAGCTAATGTGAGAAACAACAACAACAACAACAACAACAACAACAACCACACCGCGAAACCGGCCAGAGCGCGTGCAACAAAAGCTTGGACAACGAGTTGGCACAAAACCTGGCGTTGTGCCTTCTCATCGAAGCCAGGAAAAAACCTCAATCCTGCTCACATCCAACACAAATTGTTGACGCAGACTCTACAAAGTTACGTGGTCTGCACAGACAACTAGCTGCGGCCATCGCAGGCAATTCCAACTCGTCGTGCAAGTGTTCTGACTTGGCTGGTCATTTATCGCGTGGACCGTGCATGTGTGTGTGGCGGGAGAGGGTTCACCACGTGTGTGCGGCAAGTGCCTGGCGTGGATTGGCGGAAATCTCGCCGCGAATCTTTTGTTCGACGCTTTTGTTAAGAGAAAAGTTTGCAAACTTTGTTCCAGATTGCCCGATACATATATTGCTCCCGTGACGAGCGCACATGAGAAAAAACGCGAAAAAGTCTGAAAATTTTGACTACCCTTGTGCTCGCTCCCATAAAGCCGTGATACATCTCGGATTTTGTATCGTGATAGTGCTGAGTCCTCGGTACAATTCAATTTCTTTCTTCCCCCTTTCTTTGTTACCGCCCGTGACCACCATCTTTAGAATGATGTCAACATGCCCTGCTCCGGCAGCACAGAGTGAGTGAGTGCCGCAATCGATTTTGCTAGTCTGATTTGGGGCCTGCAGCGCCCATCAGCAGCTAGTATAGCTCCGCCCTGCTCATCATGCCCTCACTCCGTGTATGTGTGTACAGCAGTATCGTGTTTGAAGCACACCAAACTGCATCATCTCTTCCACATGATGTACAGAATTCGGGATTACATGTTACTTGTAGTACAGCAGTATGCATGTGCATAGCATTTTTTTTTCACCCCACTAATTACCTACTGTAGAGTTGTAGTATTGTTTGAAGGACTAACTTGTATTTCTACGTTTGGTTCTGTGGAGAACACCTTCAAAAACGTTGAAACTCCACAACGTCTGTTGAGGACGAAACCCTCTTTTCCACAATGGCGTCGACGAAGAGATGACATGTGTCTGCTTTTGGTTGCAAAAGGCACGGGTTCAAACCCCGCTGCTCACCTAATTTTCTTCCGGAAAAAAAAGAAAAACGGTGGGTGGGCCAAGAAACGATGCATTGTCTAACGAACTCGAAACTTTTGGCAATGCGTGGCGGAAGTGGTGCACCCGCACACACGCACAGAAGATTGTTGGGAAAAAAGGGGGTTCTACTCGCCGCCAGCCGGTCGGGTTCCGGTTACCCCAAGAAGACTTCTCGTGCCTAGCAAACAAGAAGAAGCTTCGAAAAAGGGGGGGGTAATGTGGAGAACACCTTTATAAGGTTGAAACTCCCCAACGTCTGTTGAGGACGAAACCCTCTTTTCCACAGTTCCAAGGGCGGGTTCTGTAGGGTACGGGTAATCTCTGTAGGGTACAGGGGGTATCACAGAACCATCCTTGATATTCTGTAGGGTACGGGTGGTGATACAGAACGCACAGAATAATCCTGTAGGGTACGGGGATGATACAGAACTTTCTGTGCAGATAGGGTATTGTGAATGGACGTCACAGAACTTTCTGTAGGGTACGGGGGATGATACAAACTACACAGAACTATTCTGTAGGGTACGGGGATGAT